GGTGTCATTTAGGAATTTGGGTTATATTGGGCTTTTGGAACCATTAGGTTGGGCCTCGGTTATTGGGCCAAGTGAGCAAAGGGTAAAATGGTCTTTCACCCTGGGAGTTGGACAAATGAGATAAATTCCTATTTATGGTTTATAAACCAATTATTAATTGGGGTTTTATTTGATTGATTAGCGCGAGGATTTTTAGATCAACAGTCCGAGCATTTATCTGATTTTCAGCAGTTTGAGGTGAGTCTTGTCACTATGCTTGGCGGGTTGAAGGCACCAATATTGGCCCATGATTTATTATGATTAGGATGCTAGTTTCCTGTGTGACTCTTGCATGTGTGGTATGTGATATGCATACTAGGCGAGGCCTGATGAGTGTATTGTATGCTATTTATCTTAGTGACTCTTGTATGTGTTTTATGTGTTTGTATGAATGTCGGGAGAGGCCCAATTCCAGGTGGGGCCTGATGAATGCAATGGGGCGGGGCCCATCTCATGATACCGATAAATCTGTTCCGAGCGGGGCCCGATGACAAGTGGGGCATGATGGTTGTCGGGAATGGCCCATCGTATCTTGATATGTATGGCATGAGTTTTTTTTGGGAACTCACTAAGCTTCATGCTTACGGTTTATCAGTTTATGTTTTAGGTACTTCCAAATCAAAGGGTAACAGCTCGGGATGATTGCAACGCATGCACCACAAATTCCGATTTATTTGACTCTAATATATTGGGATGTTTGATTGACATACTCTGATTTTCTTGTATGGTTTTATGAAAATGTTTTGGTTGATGGTTTTATTATTATAAAAATGAAATTTTGGATTTAAATTTTGGGACGTTACAGTAACACTCAAAAACTATAATCAAGATATAAGACAAATCTCATCACGTCTAAAATACAACACATTTTCTCCAACTTGAAGCCATAACACACCATCGTCATGGTCACAATAGATCATTAAAATAAGTATTGCATGGATATGTAGTGGGTCCCACACGTATTTCAAAGATCTAACCATGACCTAAAACATGGACTTCTAAATAGGGTCTTATATGTGGGAAGATGAGACAACATCCCCTTATTTTGTCCATTAACTCCACTTTGTCCTGGATGGTTAATAGAAACCCGCAATAACCCGAATTCAAATGACATTTTAGAGAAAATAACAAGATATTAAATCATTTCCAAATATATATATATATATATATATATATATATATATATATATATATATATATATATATATATATATATATATAGGGTTGAGACTCAAAGTTTCCCGAGAACCCGAGAACTAAAAGTGGAGCGTTGGATCAAAAGTAATTCGTTAAGGACATGATCGTCATCTTACCAATCTCATTTAATGTTTAATTTTTTTGTGTTATTTAATATATTAATATAAATGTCTAAAAATTAACAAAATAACTAAAAATTTCAGATTTTTTTTTAATAATTATAAGTTTTGATTTCTTAAAAAAATGGAGATTTTTTAATTTTTTTCAAAAAACATGAATTTTTCAAAAAAAAATGAAAAAACTATTTTTAAAAAAAAACTGCATTTTTTCTAGAAAAAAACTGTATTTTTTTTTAAAAAAACAAAAAACTGCATTTGTTTTTAAACAAAAAACTACATTTTTTCTTGAAAAAAACTGTATTTTTTTTTTCAAAAAAAACTGCACTCTTTTTCATAAAAACTGCAGTTTTTTCAAAAAAAAAAAAAAAAAAAAAAAAAAACCTGCAACTTTTATAAAAAAAGTGCAATTTTTTTCAAAACTGCATTTTTTTTAACTAAAAAATCAACGTTTTAGGTGCATATATGCATATTTCTTATACTATAATATTCGTAAGTAAATTATAAAAAATCTCCTTTTTATTAATCAATCTAAAAACATAATACAGGTATTTTATTCGATACAAAATAAAATATAAAAAAACTACAAAGATTCACAGTGTTATCATTTCTTCATATCAAGATTTCCATTTTTTTTTTTCAATTTATCACTTTTCACTTCTTCAATATTTTCAACAAATTCTTCAAAACCTACAAGAAAATTAAAAAAAAAATTGATTAATGCAAGAACACTTAGAAAAATGCATAAGTATATATCATGTAAGATTCACATGTGATTATATCATGTAAGATTCAAATGTGATTATATATTGTGTTATTCACATGTAATTGTATCTATTAAGATTCAAATGTGAAATTCACAAGAAAAATTAAAAAAAAAATAATTAACAAAAACCACTCATAGAAAATGCATGTGTGCATATTGTTGTAATTCATATGTGATTTACATGTGACTCACATGTAATTCATATGTTATTCACTTGTGATTTACATGTGAATCACATGTAATTGATATGTCATTCACTTGTAATTTACATGTGATTAATATGTGAATTGCATGTAATTTATATGTGAATTACATGTAATTTATATGTGAATCATATATGAATTACATGTGATTCACATGTGAATCACATGTAACTCATATGTGAATTAGATATTATATACATGTAAATCACATTAATTCATATGTGATTCACTAGTGATTTACATGTGAATCACATGTAATTCATATGTGATTCGTTTATGGTTTACATTTGAATCACAAGGGAATCATTTGTGAATTACATGTAATTTATATGTGAATTACATGTAATTCATATGTGAATCACTTGTGATTTACATGTGATTTACATATGCACCATGTGTGAATTACATGTGATTTACATGTGAATCACATGTAATTATTATGTGATTTACATGTGAATTGAATCACATGTAATTCATATGTGATTTACTTATAACCGTCACACCATGATTCAGACAAATACAAAAATTCAAGAAAATTCGAAGATGATATTTACATATTCTTGTCTTTTTAACAGGGCAAGATGATATTTACTTATAACCGTCACACCTAATAGAAGAGCTCTTGGATGACACTTTGAATCATATCCACATGGAGATCCTTGTTCATCTTTTGAGTCTTGTTCTTCCATTTTTTACAATTGAGTTCTCATGCATATATCATTATATCATTATATATTCCATTTTTTAACTGCAGTGTCAATATCATCTTGCCCTGTTAAAAAGACAAGAATATCCTCCATTGGCTCCTACACACAAAAAAATGTATATAAAATAATTAAAAGAAGTGAATTATTATATATTTTGTTTCAAATGTTGTATAAAATAATAACAGGTGTAGTGTACCTTATCATGAATTAACATTAATGTTGAAAAGTAGCTTGAAGGTAGTCTGAAACAGGTTCCTCAATGTAAAAAATTTGTACATTAAATCGTCTACCCTGAAATAATATATTTTAAAGATAAGTGAATAAAAAATAATCATTTATGTTTTATTTTTTATAATATATTAATATAATATTATAATATACCTCTATAGACAAAATAGCAGGTTCAGTCTACAGTCCATTATCATCTCCTTCCAACTGTGGCCTCCTTTTCCTGATGAATATATAGTTATATATCAATGTAGTTTAATTATTAATGTTTTTATTATATTTATAAGTATTTAACCCTTGAAACAAATGGTCATATTAATAGGAAAACTTGTTATGAAAAAACCCAGTCATTGATTTTGCTTCAATTGTGGCTAATGCAATAATCAGGCGCAACTCAGGCCTTCTGCGTTGTATCTGAGAAATTAAAAATAAATAAATATATGAAAAAGAATTGATATTTCTTGCATTTCACAATAAATAAAAATGATACATGTTCTTTTAGTAAATCATTAGAAAAAAAAGATGTTGAATCATTAAGTGATACCTTTTTCAGGAGACCTAATAATATATCTGTTGAAAAGGATCTCTCATGAGCTTCATCAACCATAATCACACTGAAATATAATTCCCATTTTAAGAAGAAACAAATAATTTGAAAAGATAAAAAAGTAAAAACAATAAATTAAAGAAATTGATAATGTTAGATTATAAAGAACAATTGATTAGAAACAACACCTATATTTGCTTAAAAGAGGATCATCCATCATTTCTCTTAGTAATACTCCATCTGTTAGAAATTTGATCCTTGTTAACTCCTGTCAAAAAGATAAATATAAATAAATAAAAGTTTGTTGTTATTTCTTGTGTTTAGACCAAGGATTATTGGACAAATGTATCAATTATTGAGCTTTAGATAAAGTCTTACTGAATTTGTGACATCTTCAAATCGAATAGTATAACCAACTTCTTCCCCAAGTTTGACTCCCATTTCTTCTGCTAATCTTGCAGCAACACTCTGAAAAAACATGAGATCAATCCAAAGTTGTAATTAGATGTAACTTTAGTGAAATTTTAATGAAAATGAAAGTAAAGTATATGCATTAAAGGATAATAATAATGAACATTAAACAAAAAGAACTTTGATGATGAATACCTGCACAACCAACCTTCTTGGTTGAGTGCAAGCAATAATCCGACCATTATCAGCCTATCTTGCTTCTTTATGGTATTGCAAGATTATATAAAATGCTTCAACAAAAGCCACTGAAACTGGAAAGGGGGGGGGGGGAAGCATTATGAAACCCTAACTACATAAACCATCATAACAAGCACTACAAATACAGAGAGAATAATCGGGATTACACTTGAAATAAAGTCAGTATCATATCTATAATGTCAATTAGAAAATCTGACATCAAAAGTCATTGAAATTGAGTGTTTATCACGAGCGAGAGTGCATACAAACAAAAGAAAAAGGGATGGGGAACCTAAGGGATTTGAGTAGTTTTGCCACTCCCCGTTTCGCCAATGATTATGGTAGTGGATTGAGTCTCCACCAGATACAAAATAGATGTTTTGTACTTGAATACAGGTAATCGCTACCTTTGGCTCTCCAAGCTCTCATACCCACATCTATTGATTCCAAAGACCAGATTAAATAAAATAGGAAGGCTGTAAATTGAAGTCAAGTGGTCCGTTTAGTTTTCAAGGAAGCAAATAATTATAATCTTAATGATAGCTCAAGGTGATTTATTAACAAGAAGGATGTTATGAATGGACGTTTTCTAGAGAGAAAAAGAGGAAGAGGAGAGTCGGACACAGATTGATAAAATCGATACCACATGTCTATCGACAATCGATTTTGAAGAACTGATTTGTAGAAATCGATTAGGCAATGTCTCTAATGCAAGGAAACGTTAACATGAATATGAATGTGAACGATTGTACCATTTCAGAAATTGATGCATTACGTTCGATCGAAGAGAAACTCGGGAGATCGACTTTAGGTTTATCCATTGTTGGATCTGTTCTTTCTGAACTTCTGATCACTCCAAGTCGACTTCTAGACACAATCAATTGAAGACAGGAAACGGCAATGAATGCGGTGGAGTGATCACATCCGGAAGCTCAAAGGCGAAGGAGAATCGGGAGGTTCGGAGCGATCAGACCTCTGGCTGATTTATTAGGGCAATAAACTTCGAGAGGGAAGAATGCCGCAACCACCACGATGTTAAATCTATCAATCATCGGAAAATCTTCAATGAAGGCGTTGGTTGTTGACATAGGTTGGGTGGTTGTTAGAGGGAGGAGGGAGGGGTCGACGAAGAGGGAGGTGGTCGATGGAGTCGGTGAAGAATCGGAGAAGGGAACGAGCGATACAAAGAGTAATCACGATTTATTTGGAGAGCTAATTAATTGTTCCCTTAAATGCCCTTATCTTATTTTATTAAGATAACCTTCCTTGATTTCTTTCTATTTATTTACAAAATTGCCATCAAAGATCTTGACCCTTAACTTTTTTAATCTAACAGTCCACTTTTAGTTCTCAGGTTTTCGGGAAAATATGAGTTCTCAGATGATCATTGCTCTCTCTCTCTCTCTCTCTCTCTCTCTATATATATATATATATATATATATATATATATATATATATATATATATATATATATAACTTACTTGTAGATATACATATACAATTGTGAGAGTAAGACCAAAGTTCCTCGCGAACAATTCATGAATCGGTGGGAGTGTTTGCAGTTCGTGTTGATGAGAGTTCAGTTAATAATACTTCAATTTAATGGTATTGTATTCTTATAACAAGACAAAATAACTTAAAGTGGTAAACATACTCGCAAGAATGTTCGTGCAACAATTATGATTATTAAATATACTCAAGGATATCGATTAGTTACTTGCTAGGGGAGTATCTTTGTCATCCGATGATCCACATGCACAAAAAATTGGATGATCTTCACTCTTTCTTTTCGAATGAAAATGCGATGAGAATGAACTTTTGCATGTGGGGGACCTGTTGGAACTTTTGTCTTACTATCACAATTTTTGGAGTTATTTAAACATACCACGAGGTCATTTGTTAATTCCGTGAAAAGAAAGATTAGATCAAAATATAAAAACCCAATATACCATCAGTTTACTAAATAACCCCAATTTCATTGATTACTCTAATAATTTAATAGGAGAAAGAGAAAATGCGGCCAAAGATATAATGGGGAGTCAAATTTTTATTCATTATATCTCATTACTAGTAACTACATCCAATGTGGGATGCGTAAGTGCATATCATCCCACAATTGTTTATCCCACATCGCTCAGATAAGTAGAGTGAAGAGGTAAACAGCTTCAATAAATATCAGTCCCGCTATCACCATCACATCTTATTTAGCAATTACCACTATTAGTTAATTATTTATTTAGTTTGTAGATTTATTTGTATCTGTTTACTTTTAGATTGGTGATTTCGTTTAATCTTTTTACTTATTTCCTTCAATCTTTTTATAATTTTTCTTCTGGTGTTTCTTCCATCTTTCGATTTTGGTCTTTCATCTTTATACGCTCCTAGAGTTTGGAACACAAGACGAGATACAGTTTCAGATTTGTCTTGAATTATATGTATTATTATGTGTGATAGTTTTGAAAACGTAATGAAATTCATCAGAGTTTTACTCCTTTGCTCGTATGTAAATAAAGATATCATATGTTCAGTTATGTTTGGAATTTCTCTTTCTCAATTAGTATCACCTACTAATTTACTTACAGTTTCTTCAAGGATCGATTGATCTTCTTTAATTGTGTAATTCTTTTTAATCATATAATAGAGAGAATTTTCTGTTTTTTCATATTAGTGAATAAAGTAATCTTTGGGTATTTACTTGTTGCTTTTATTAGGGGGTTTCATTAAATCCATAAGACATCATACCTTTGGATCCAAAGGTACGATGTCATAGGTGTATCGGGCATATTGCTCATGATGACTTTGTACTTTGTTCAAAAAAGAAATGGTAAAGTATTATTAAAGTTTCATAAGTGAATTTAAGAAGTAGCAATGTGCTTTCGTTGATTTTTTTTTACCATATCAATTCATATCTTCTTATATAACATTTTAATTTGAAAAATGTACCCAATTACAACAATGTCATCCAAATACCAAACTATTTTAACTGCTATAACTGGTTAGATTTATTAATTGTATAATTATATAATAAAAAAAAGTTAAAAGTATGATACAATAACTGGTGTAGATTTCTAAAAAGTACAATGCTTATTAAGAAAAAAAAGTACAATTTTGTAATAGAAAGAAATGAAAGTCGGATACTATAATAAGTTTTCCAATTTGAATCCATTTCCTTTTTCCTTCCAATTCCCATAGTTGGCCTTGATTTTCAAACATCATTGATTAAAACAACACTTTATATATGCAACAATTAATGGGGAAAAAAAAAGAACAAAAAATAAAAAACTTTAGAAGCCTATTTCAGATTATATGTTTTAGTTGTTTATGTGTATATTTAATAACAAATATAGTTAAATTTCGTTTTGAAAGAAAACCTTGCAAGATCATGTAGGAAGTCTCCCTTCAAATACAAATCGATTATATTTCAGAGTAGAATGCTGCATTCAAAGTACAATATAGGAAAAATTTTGAAAATTTTGTTCAGTAACATAAACAAATGAAATCAAGATGCTATAATCAATACATAAATGAAAGAGTCTTACTCTTATGTTTAGATGCAAGAAATAGAAACATATTTTTGTATATTTCTTTATTCCTGGATCTTAGTTTCATTTTCTGCTATGTTAGCAATTCATTTTCAAAGATCTACATGATTATTGTAATATCATCCAAATAGAGAGTAATTTTCACTGATTAGATTTTTCAGAGTAGAATGATATCAGTCGAAGTACAATGCTTTAATAAGAAAATATTCGAAAATTTTGGTATGCAACTTACCGAATCAAAGTAAGATGCTTAATAAACATATTTAAAAGAGTTTTACTCTTAGTTTTAGATACAAGAAATAACAACGTATATTTGTAGATTTGTTTATTATAGCTTCCTAGTATCATATTATACTATCTTACCATTGCATTCAAAATATCTACGCATTTATAGCAATATTATGCAAATACAAAGAACGCTATCATTCAAAGTCCAACGCCTTAATAAGAAAAAAGTTTGAAATTTTGGTTTATCTAACAAATAAACAAGTAAATGAAAGTGTCTTAATCGTAGTTTTAGATTCCAGATCAAGCAACATACTTTGGTATATTTGTTTATTGTAATATCCTAGTTTCATTTCCTGCTATCTTAGCATTGCATTTTGAAATATCCACACAATTTTTAGAGTCGATTAGTAGCAAATCACATAACCACTGATACTTAGTTTTATTGTGAATATGTTACAACCTTCCTTCACAGTATCTCAAAATGTTTTATGCTTAACCTCTTTAGATATATCAAGCCTCAGTTGAGCATCACAGGCTGCACTTACCTTAATGGTGATACTCTGGAGAGAAGGCGAACGACACAACAAAAGCTTAATGAATAACATGACTATTCTTGATATTTATACGTACAGAAAATATCACCACATTTTGCAAACATTTGAGTGTGTGGTTCAAACATCCAACAGCTTTCAAGAGATGTGACACTGGTTCCATGTCGACTTCAAGATCTTCAAGAAAAAAGATGAAGATGTGTAGCATCCATAGACGAAGAAAAGCAAAACAAATAAACATCTAGCATCTCCTCACTTTTTACCTCCTCTAAGATGATCACACGTAGAGTCTGCTAGTTTGTGTAGTTGCAAATAACAAATAAGACGTTGAGAACCTGATTGAGATGTTTAAGCATAATCTGCAGCAATGAAAGACGCGATAAGATATTAACATTGTGTAAATCCCATGTCGGAACTACAACCATAAACTGTGAGGAGAGTTTCTACATTAGCCAAAAAAAAACACAGAACTATTTTAGGAATAGATAAAAAAAAGTTTATTACATGAAGAAAGTTGTCATCGACTATTAATTGTTTGATTTTTGGCAGGTTGCTCAGCATCCTGCCCAAATCGGCTCTTTTGACTTATTTTAGGAGTAGCAAGACTTGTAGCTTTGGTTTCTCTGTGTCAGAGTTCCGGAAATTCCTGCACATTTCCAATTTTAGATTCTTCAGCTCCAGCAAGCTGACTGGACTTTCACTTAATGTAGCACAAAATTCTACATTCTTAACATAAATTTCCTCAACCATCATGAACCCTTGAAACTAAAGGGCTGTTTATGTAATTAATTATCTAGACTCAACTTTTTAATCTCTTGTCAAGAAAACAAATAGGTGGGGAGCTTGTAAATTTGATTCCAGTTTGTAATAAGAAGCTCCTTTATACCTTTTCTTGACAATATCAACATCCATTGCTTGAGTTACTGAAAGGTGTAAATATACATGTGGTATTGTAGGGTGAAAATGGAGATTGGTCCTTCGTGAAGGATCATCAGCTGGATGATGACAAAAAAAACCAAGTCTTGAACCTTCATGAGGGTCGGATCTCTGTTTCCACCTACAAATACCAAATATCTATCCCGTCAGCTTAGGAAAAGGTGTTAGCAAACTAGTTTTTTCAAACTCAAACTCGATTTACGAGCTCTCATACCATGTATTCACCTACAATGAACTTAAAAAGTTGAGTTTGGATAACTGTTTTCTTAAGCCCCGTGAGGTTTTGAAGGATTCGTGATGATTGAGGAACTATGTTTAAAGATCGTAGACTTTGGTGTGAACTTATGTGGAAGTCAGGTTGCTAGAGTTGAAGAATCTGTCATATGTGCACGTATGTCCGGAATTTTAATATCGGGGAAGCAATGCTGCAAGTCTTCCTAGTCAAAACCTGTCATGATGTGAGATTGGCATTTATGTTTGGGAGAACTGATTTGGGCAAGGTGTTGAGCAACATGCCCATAATCAAACATTTGATACTCGGTTGTCCTAAAATGGTGATGTGTG